GTGTAACCGCGACATATGAAGGAGCATTCTTATACAAAGTATTGATCGTATCTCGGTGGATTAAAGAGGTTGACATTCTTACGCGAATATGGATTTATTTGATCATGGCGCGGTGATACAATTTCTATATTTTCACTAAATAACAGACCTGTTTACATCAAGGATGTGCTAAAATGAATGTACGATAGGCAGAAATGTGCATTTTGGTGATATAAATAAGGAAAAGTGGTAGGTTATAAAAATATAATTGACTTGCTTGGTTATCAAATTTCTGCACCAGACACAAAACCGTTCATTCGCTGCATGTAGATGTTGGATAACTCTGATAAAACTACTCGGCAATGATGGTGGGAGTAGTTCAGAATATTTCCTGAATGTTTTTAGTTTAACTGCACTAGAATGTATTTAGTTCGAAGCTGCGTAGTGCTCTATTCAGGACATGCATTGGAAGCGGCTTTGTTGTTGAGAATGCTTAGTACGGTGGCATGTGAACGAATTTCGACCGAATTCACCACAGGGCGAAACAAATCCGTAGGCCATCATTTTTGTCCCCACTTTGTCCATCAAAGTACTTTAACGTCAGTAACAGCCCTCATGGGGATTGTGACAGGGTAGCACGGCGAATGATCATTGTTAACTACCAATGCATACTCTGCATAATTTTCAATAAATAAGTTTATCTTTTTCATGACAAGCGATTCTTAGGTGGCGGCCAGTATTTGGAAACCGTGCTTTAATGAATGCGGAGCGATTTCAAAAAATTAGGCTCCTCAAATTCCCTTGCTTATCGGCCAATAAGTATAATTTGCTTTGCAGACCAGCGATCCGCACGTTTTAACTATTTAATTAAGAAAGATTGTTCATGTCACTGTTTTCAAATTTACTTATGTGTGAAACCCGGGAAAATTCAACGGTGAGTGGTGGATGAAGATTGGATGGTACAGATGAAGGTTTCGTCGTGTGCCACCTAAAGTAATCTTAACCACGCTAACAGTTTCGAATCGATACAAATGTTGTTTGCACAGATTACCTTAATCGGCGCAAACCAAATGTCTATAGCCACAATAAAGTCGATCATACTGGTACGCCGCTTTCGGACTGGTTCAACACCTCGCAGTTAATAGCGCAACCTCCCCACTTAAGTGTTGATGCCCTCAACGCAAAAGACCCATAACGTTGCTATTTGCCAGTAATGTGAAGCTGTTTACATTAGGTATTTGGGCATCGTCTAGTGAGTCCGAGAAAGTAAAGGCAACTTTATATCCTACTGTCTTTAATGAAACAAATTCTAAGGAAGCTATTCAATGAAAATGAACAACAAGTTCAGCTACGGAAATGTATTACTTTAAGACGTAGACCTACTACAAGAACTGAATGTATGTATGGACTTTAGATTAAATTACGAACACGGACGCAACCATGTACATCTGATAAGCTAGCTAACAAACTGTTGTTATTCCTTCTGTTCATGGAAGATTAGTTGCGTCCTTGTGGAAGTCTCCTAAATTAATACCTGAAAAGGTTTAATAGACTAAAGTTGAAATCATCCAAATGTAAGAGAGATGCTTCCTTAAACTCCTTCTGTTTTTTCTTATAAGTCCAAAATATACAAAACAGCAGACGTCAGAAGATCTCTCAGAGGTTGAAGCAATTACAAGTAATCGTTCGTCACGCCCTGAATGCAGTTTGGGATATGGATGACTTCATCTGTAGCTTCGGTAGCTTCATCCCCATTAGGCTGGCATACAAACTCTCGATCTGCCATCGGCAGCTACCACGTGGACAGAAAAAGGAGGCAATCCCATTTCAACACATCAGGTTGTCTGGACGCGTTATCATCCGTTTTTTCTCAAAAGATCTACGGATTTCTATGTAGAATGTTTTTCTAGATTATGCATCAAAGCGCATATAACTGCAGATTGCAGGAGTGGTGCTGGCATCACACAAGTGTTAAAGTATAGAGCAGATACTTGCCAGCCTACCATGTTTTCCACACCAAAGTTGAAGGCTTTGACCCTATTATCCTTGAAAATATGCCAACTCAATCGCGTCCAAGCGATCAGGATTAACCTGAAACACCCTGCTGGCCCCCGGTGGAGGTTGTTCGGCTAGCCAGCAAATATTTTCCAGATTTGGAATATAACTAAGTAAATGTCTGGGTGCTAAGACGCTTTTCAGTGGATGAAGAAATGTTTCCATTTACTGAAATCGAAGTCAAAGCACAATTTCTAGGAGTGCGCGTAGATACCGAATTGCAACGGGATTTCCGAAGCACACAACTGGTAGCATTTTGGCCAAGATAGTAATTGAGTATGCATTGCTATCGAAGAGCACAATGAGAATATTGATCCCACTCGCAACAGCTTATAGATGAGACATTGGATTTTCGACAATCGTGACAATGAAAAGGAAAGCAAGGAATTGAATAATCTTGGACCACGACTTACCACGTGTATTAGCCGAAACTGTACCAAATATACAAGAAATTGTTAGCGCTAAACCATATCAACGGTCTCATTGATGTATACCGCATTTTGATTGCATACAATTTTGTACCAAAATAACTCTTTTCTTTCTTTTATTGATCGGGATTAATTTCAAATAGATATCACTTCCCGTACTTAGAAGCGAAATAGTTCGAAAGTTATTCGTTAGTTAGTCTTTGAATCGGAAATTTGGGGGTTTGATTATGGCAAACCCGATTTGTGAGTAACAGCCTTTAAAAGGTTAAGAACCGCTGGCGTACAGCAACATGCGGTAAAGATCAGTGTGGTATCGAATTCTAACACACCATCAAAGTCGCATCCAGGACATGAGCAAGAATACTTTGGACACGGTACTTAATGAAGGAAAGTTGTGTGTTTTCTGCGCACTACACTCTGATGAGCGGACCGAAGTAGCATCTTGTTCCGAGTTACTTGTTTATGTTCAGTGCATACAAGGAGACAGCTTCAATGATGATTGCTTGTACTCAGAATCACTGAGAACCACTGCACACGACTTACGATGTGCATTAGCTGAAATCGCACCTCGAGTTAATGAAAAATGACTCAAAAAGGTAGGTTTTCTTTAGTTGCATGATCAAAAGTAATTATATATGGTATTCATTTTCCGCAAGTTAAGACAAAAAGTCCAATAGTTATTAAGTAATTGGTTTTGAAAGTTTGGGGTTAACTGCTTATAGTGAACCCGCTTTGTGGAGAACGGCGACAAAAAGGTTGAGAACCACTGCCGTCACACCACAATAGTTGTTCTCCTCCCAAGAGCCATTGTGAAGAAATATCACTAACTATAATCATACCGAATACACAACATCCCGGAAACTTCGTGAATCGTATTGTGTGCACTTCGGTGTTATTGGAAACTGCAGATCCCACTTTCGGAATCTTTTAGTCTTGCTAATTACGATTTCGTATTATCAGAAATAACACTGATGTTTGATTAGGAAAACAGGAACCACATTAGAAGAATGCTGTCATTGTGACCGTCTACAAGCTTTCTCAGAAACAAGAACACAACTATTTTAGTTACGAAAGCTCTAACAGATACCAAAGTAAAACACCATTGTTAACAAAAATGACTAAAATTATCAAAAAGCACAAATTACCTTCGAAAAGGTTTTAGACAACTGTGGAAATTGTACACATATGTAATCACTTAGCGGTCATAATGACCGTTTCGGGCGTCCTAGTGTCCACTGTATCAAAAAGCGCATGAGGCCTTTTGTGTAACACGAAATATCATTACATGCTAGCAAGCCATTTGTAATTACTGTATCACGGCAAGTAACATCAGCATATGAATACACACTGTCGGATTGCAGCTTCTAAACCATTGAGTAGCTTAAATTTAAAAAGTTAGGATTAGTTCACATGTTGCATCGTTTGATGGCGGCTTGCAAAAAGGACACTTAGCTCTTGAGACTAGCCCTATCCTCTGCACGTTCACAATCAGCTTTACAGTGAGGATGAGCTGCGCTATTTCGCAGTTAGACGTCTATTGTGATGGTCCGTCGTCATCACCCATGGCTCAGTGACATACTTCGCTGAACCGTAAGATTAATCTCATGGGCTCAAATCCGGCAGCATTCGGCTGGTGCGCGCTACTGACTAGCTCTTTTCTGGATGTGTGGTGACTGTCTGACAGAGACTAGCTGCGACGAATCCTCTCTAAAACCTAACCAATCCCCCCTACTACCCACCAATAAGAAGCAAACCCTATCGCACGCCAATGTTGATGGTAATACGGAGGTGGACGGAGAACGGAATACGGAACGCGACACCATGCATTGGACAATTGTGATTCCAATATGTTTCTTCTCTTGGTTTTGCCCTACTGAATGCAATCATCTTTTCATACTGCGGTAATGTGTACCATGGTTAATTCCCTTTTCCTCATTTACAAAATAAGTTAAAATGTAGAAAACAAACATCGGTCAGCCGGCGTTGAGTTGTTGATAAAACCATTGTAAGCATGAACATGGTGACAAGAAGTTGAGCATCACAAGACGGTACCATTTCGTGCATACTAAAATCATATATAGGTCACGTGAGAAAAGAAATAGATCGTTTTGAATCGGGTCAGAAAAGAATACACTGATACAAATCAATAGAAGTGTGTGTTGCGGTAAACTTCATGAGCCCCTCAAAAGCTTTAGGCTACCGTCAGTTGCTCATGTACACACCGAGAGTAGGACGGCGCCAATTAATTGTCATGGCCACAGGAAACTTCGACACAGTGGTGTTTTCGTTTCAGTCGACAACCGTAAAATTAAAGTCAAGGTCAACCGGATTACCTGCACCGATTAGGTGCCTAGCAGGGAATGACGCCTTTTGTCCAGTTGCTTGTCACGTCGCCAACTTAGCAATCCGCTTCGGAATTCGCTCGCGAATCCACTTAACCAGACAATGATCTGTTCTGCCGATTTAACTGTTTCCACAGCTACAGGCGAATTGGTAATTTCGAGGTGATATGGCTCAGACCGGTTGAGTGGGTTAGACTGGTGGGATGGGAAGTTTTTTGGCCGTCCTAATAGGACAGAGTTTCGCGGCTTTGAATGTACAGAGAACAGCTGTCTTCACTTGTCGCTCATGTTGCGTCGTCACCGCATTTCTCTTCACCGTACTGTAGGTAGACAGATATGCTGGGCAAGGTAAATACTCTTGGTTTGCTTTCTTTCGGGTGACCGTGGAATCTAATAAATGCTCCCGGATCTCCATTGGGCAGCAGTGTTTGTGTGATGAACAACAATTCCGATCCCACACAGTCGGCACTGCATGTTCTACGGGCTCGAGTAAACAGTGTCTTGACAAGACTACCCTTGTACTGGGCTGACTTGAAGCTCTTGTAGTTTTCATACAGTCCATCCCATGTGGTTTCCTTGTAAACGGAACACATAACCGAGCCATCCTCTCGTCTGATCAGCAATACATCCAGAAAAGACAGACAATTGTTATCTTCCAGTTCACAGGTGAAACGGGCGTTGAGATATGCGTTGTAGAGAACGCTGTGAAGAGACTGAGTGCTCTGCACACTTGGAGCAAGCACTAATGTGCCGTCCACATACCACTTGTATAGGAATATCTAACTGAGGTAGGGTCCACACCTCGAGTCAACCAGTGCCATAAAGATGTCAGCCAATACTAGGCCAAGCGGATTTTCCATGGCCACACAATCTACCTGTCGATATTCCTGATCCACGAATAAAAAGTGCACATTTTCTTACATACTAGCAGTAAATCACTGACATAGTATACGGGAATCGGCAAGGCTACTATATGATTCTTGATGAGCTAGCACAAGCGTTCCACCGTTTCCAAACATGGGATGTTAATGAACTACTATTCTACCTCCATGGAAAACACAACCATGTCAGAAAGATTCATGTTTTGCACGCCATAAATCTGATCAACGGTACCTATCAGTGTGTGGGTCGCTCTCACTTGTCGCAGTGATGTAAGAATATCAACTAACCAACGTGTCAACATGTGGCGCAGGGAGTTGCACAAGGACAGTATCTGCTTTACTGGTGTGTTAATCTTGTAGATCTTAGGCAGGCTTGCGTTTGTGAGGTGTGTGTACCCATTGCCATGAAGGTGTTTTACACCGTTTCTATTATCATTTCGTGCTGAATCAACATGATTTGACTTGAGCTGCCGTGGTTCCGCTTTTGTCCTCCTAAAAGTTAGTTCCCTCCATCACAAGATCCTACATCTTGCTTTCTTTTTCTGACCCAGTTCAAAACAAACATTTTCTTTTCCCACGTGCCTTTTATCTGTGCTTAGTTTGCAATTGAGTAGGTTACTCAAAATAGTGTCATCTTGCAGTGCTCGTCTTCCAATTCCCATTTTCAGCATGTCATCTTATTGATATTCCATTTGCTGCAGTCTGCAAGACGAATGAGGCAGTTGTTGACTGACCAAACCCCACGGCATGTCGCATCGTGTTGCAGCGAGCGTACCGCACCTTGTTCGGTCGTTTAATGACCTGAAAAAATAACATGCATAATTGACAGGTTGGAAACACGAGTCCCATCACCATGGTGTTTCTGCTGATTGACGTCAAGTTAACTGATTTGCGTCAAGCGGAGTTATGTGTGTGACTACGTTCGTAGAATGGTTAAGGAACAGTAAATGTATCACTAAAGATGGAAAACCAATTACTTCGATTCTGGTGCAGGTAATTGACTGTGTTTATCAGCAGACACCAGAGAAAGCACATACATACCTAGTACTGTATACACCGAACGTCAGGTATGGGATTCAACATAGTGATAGCTAGCCTGTCGCTGTTGTCGAGTGTGGCATCCAAGTAGAGCTGCATGAATTCGCCAGGGAGATATGGTTGGCGGCATCCTGTTCCGGATTTGCTTGTCACTGCGGCCTCCATGGGGACAGCCAAAGGACACATGCGCTAACAAAGGGACTATGGGTGGCTTGCGTTGCACTACACAAAGCTCCATCCACACACCGCGTATCCAGTGTAAACCCGAGGGAATAAGACCGGGAGTCATGCCGATGCGAGCCAAGTTTCATCAACGGAGCCGGCCCACCCTCCTTCACAGGCAAACACAAGCACATTGTATTTGGGAATCAAGCGCACACAAGGCGGTAGCTGGACCGTAGTCCGCTCCACACTGAGTGTATGGAACCACTCTTCTAGGCCAGCACGGCCGCAAGGACCGTGCACCCCGTCCCCTCCAGCAACGACCAACTGTCTCCTTGAGCTGGTATGGACGAGGTAGTGGGTAATAGAGAGGTTGGCACCTTGTCAACATTTATGTCAAGCGCAGCCACACCGGGGATGTCAAACAATAACCAATCACTTGAAACGAAAATATCGAATAAAATAAGTCGTATAATGCATACAGATACGGTGACTTAACTTTGCACTAGATGAGCATATGAAAGAAATTGATTACGAACAAATCCGAGATAACTTTAAAGCGTCATAATATTTGCTTTAAGCAACTGCCACAAACGCAATAATGTCATCGAATTTTACTAAGGCAGTATAATAAGGGGCCTGTGCAAATTTACAGAAGATAGTTTAGGTTGACATTAATATGAGATAAAAAGCATTAGCACAATATAGCGAACCCACCACCTGAAATAAAGAGACTCAGCATGCAAGCACGCGGTTGGTAGATCCAATGCAGCGTACCTACAGACGCTGCGCCGGTTGTGCTTACGTTCTCCGCAGGACCCGTAGTCGTTTTGATGTGGGTCCTGATTGGCCTCGCTCGTGGCTCCCTGGACCTGCCTGACTCAGGCATTCGCGACCGCATGTGCTACAGCATCATGCGCCCGACGTCGATGGAGTACACACCATCAGAGCCCGTCGCTTCCGCACCTGCCGTTTCTTTTACGCATTCACGAGGGCTTTCTGCTGCACCTTGGCAAATGCCTTCGTGATTACTTCGCACCATGCACGCCGATTAATCACCTTCGATTCCCAGGACATGAAATCAACCTTAGAACGTGATAGTCTCACCTTAATCATGTCCTACTAAAGTAACTTCGGTTTTTCCACGTGCCGCTTCCTTGCACGCAGTTGGACATGAAGCAGCTGTTTCGGCATATCGGTCGCATCCATGCAGCGAATATGCCCGAGCCACCTCAATTGACTCAGAGGAAGAATGTAGTCCACTGCATACAGGCTACTGCGTCGTACCATCTCCGTGTCTTCAACTCGGTCACTCCAGCCTATTCTCATAATATAGGCAGACACTGCTGATGGCAGCTCTCCAGATAACTGACGTCCTTCCGATAACGCTTCCATGATTTGATGAAGTTTAGAAGAACGGACAGCATCATAAACTTGTATATAAGTAGGTTCGACCTGACAGGTAGCTGGGGGTTGTTCCACAGATGAAATTCCAGGTTGCCAAATGCTGCAGCCGCCTTCAATACGCGGCAGTGCGAGTTGCGCGTCAACTGTAGGTCGGCTGTTATTAAGCTAGTAAGATAGCAAAATCTCGGAGTGGTATACAACACTTCATCGGCAACCTGGACATCGGGCAGGCCCATGGATTCAATCACGAATGCAGGCAGGAAAAAGCAAACGGCATTGCTTGTGTTGATGGTGAGTCCGAATTTGGCCTCTGTCGAAGCCAGAGTACTAGTCAGGTGCTGCAACTCCTCCGCGCTGTAAGTAAACAACGTACAGTCGTCAGCAAACAGCAACATACGGATAATTGTCTCAAAGACTGGGATTATTGCACCGAAACAACGCATGTTCAGCAACCCATCATCAATACGATGTTCCACACAGACACCACGAAGTACAAGCACTATCAAAAATACAAGACATCATAGCACGAAGATAAATTTTAACCAGAGCAGGAGTTATGACACAGCATTGCATCACACCACAGACAATATGAAGTCCTCCTACGTTTATCCACTCAGCTGTAATCTAGCCCAAATACCACTGTGCAGACATTCGATTAAACATACAAACACTCAGAACACAAACCTACACAACACCAATCACAATGCCTCGCGGTTCAACGTATCAAATGCATTGGTGAAATCAACAAACAGAGTACAACGGATGGTGTCGTTCTCTTCACTCCTCCTGCAACTGATGGGCCGCAAACACCATGTCGATAGTGCTGCAACCCGAACGAAATTCACATTGCTCTTCCGCCACATTCCTTTCCACAACCAGACTGACGAGACAGTTGAGCAGGATTCGGGCTATCATCTTGCCCACACAAATCAGCAAGTTGATACTGCGAAAATTTGTTCAATATTGATTGCTTCTTTTCCCCTGTACAGTGGTAGCAAAAGCGAATGCTTCAGGTCTAGATGCACCACCTCCTCAAACCACGCGCGTTGCACCAACTGGTTCGGCTCATTCACCAACACGGCTTCGCCGTATTTCCATGCATCTTGTTGGATACCCTTGGTAACAGCACACATGCGGCACACTTGCAGAGGAAGTGTTCTCGTGTCTCATTCACTGTCAGTCCGTTGGCAACAGTCACCTTCATCTTTTGATTTTGCAGCCAGTGCAACCTAGGCCAGTCAATCAGAAAACGCTTGTCAAAGAGAGAGTCAAAGTGTTTCCGACAGACTTGCGCTACGTCCGCAGTCTGAGTGCAGGCGGCACTTGTACTGCTACCGATCATCGTTCACAGCGGCTCGAAACTCGGTCGATACACCACCTACAATAAGTCAAATAATTCCTTGCGTTGGCGGCGTTCGGCGTAGGATTCCATCTGCTTCGCCTTCTCCGTCCACCATGCAAGTTTACTGCGACGGAACTCTCGTGTCAGTCTCCGTCGAATACTGAGAAACTGACTCTTCTTCACCAAGCCACTGGGGTGTACATCATGTGCAGCAAATGCTGCATCCTTCTCAGATACGAATGCACTAATCGTCTTAGTGTTTTCAGCAAAAGAATCGCGCCGCTTACAGCTTCCGCGCCCGTTGATCTCCTCGGGAGCAGCTGTCATCTGGTCGCGGATGTGGTGCCCCAGGCCGTCACTGTGGCTATGCAGTCCACAACACACAGGTGTGCAGCTATCGCCTTCTCTAACCATCCCCTTTTCACAGTACCTGGATAAACGACGTTATATTTCCGCCGATTCACGGCAGCGTTGCAATACATAGATTTACGAAAATATGTGTACAGTTTGGTGTGCACCAACTTGTGATCAGTGTCACACTCAGCTCCACGCAGTGCATGTGTCATGCACACCTCACGCATGTCACGCTGACGTACGATTAAATAGTCGAGCAGGTGAGCGTGACCACTCCTTGGGTGCGTCCAAGTTGCTATAGTACTCGCACTCAGTGCAAGCCGAGTGTTCCTGATCGTCAGGCAGTGAGTGGCACACAGTGAGAGCAGCCAGTTGCCGTTCGCATTCGCTGAACCAATTCCATGCTGACCCATGACATCT